CTACAGTTTTTGTCGTTCTGTTTACGCCCTAACGTTCTAGTAAACTATAAATGAACCGGTCGGCTGCTAAGACAGTCGTTGATTTTAGTTTCTTCTATTCTGATTTGATGTTCACAGTTTATCGGTTGGCTTCGGTTCATCCGATTAGTTCTTTAAAAGAATTAACGCAGTTTACTTGTTTCGCCAAAACAAGGAAGGATTAGGTATAATATATGTCGCAAAGATAAGACAGATCGATGTAAATGTCGCTGTTTAATTTTAATGAATCTGGGAATGCCAGCATCGATAATCAGAATGCCGTTTCTTTCTCTTTCTTTCTATTTCTTAAAAAAAGTTTCAATTTAACGAGAAGGCTAGCAAAAGTTTCATTCAAAGGTACTTCCCTTTGCCAGTTCAAATCACAACAACGAAGAAACCAATTAAAGATAAAAGAATCAGTATTGCCCAATCAGTTTTATCAGTTATAGTGACGTCAATATTTTCTGATTGGCTGACGTCTCTTCTATTGTTCTGTTCCCTATATATTTGCGATACCACCCGGATGGTTTGGGCGGATCAGTAAAACCAGCGCACCACAAACTTCTCTTGCCAACACCTAAAGATAGCAAAATACAATCTCACGCTCAATCTCAAGCACCAACCAGCATAGTTATTTATAGTCAATGAGGCGCTTTCAAATCATTTTTAAATTACATCGTTATGCATATCCGATGCATGCTTACATCTGATTAACCCAGGTAGCATTGGGGTCTCACTCAAGGAAGTTGAATAAGTACATGGAAATTAAGGCACTGTTTCGATTGATTCAAGAGAATATTATATCAATAGATGGAGGCTAAGCAGGTCACTGAAGTGAAACAGAATGGGGCATATTTTGATTACGAAACCGGTGGCTTATAATTCATACATGTGAAAACAGGAACGAAGAATGAAAAGATACATTTATACTTATGAGATCACTCTTAAAAGTTTGTTGTAGAGAATTGATCCTTTGATTTTCTCTCGGTCTTGATTAGCTTTACACCCCAGTTGTACTCGGTCAAAATAATAACTTAACCTCCAAAATTACTGAGAAAATGATCAACATTAATTGAGTCTGTAAGTTTTAAATGATTCAATCAGTGATCCTGGTAACAACCTCAGAAAAATTATAGAAACTGTTTACAGTTGTCATAGTGTTACGTCATCAAGGATAGTAATTTCAAGTTTGTGTTAAACTTCATCCAGAAAAAAAAAAAACTTTCAAAGGTTTTTAAACTTCTCTTAATTAAACAGGGGCACCCAACGTCAATTTTCGGAAAATATCTGTTTGGAAGACTATTTGAGATCTAGAATTTTCGGAACATTTGTTGTAAAATTTCTCGCTTGCCTGCCCCTGTTAGGATTTTCGAACATCTAAAAAATGGTATAATTCCCCATTTTTAACGGATTTTCACCCTAAAAAGTCACCTAGAATTTTCGGGAGCTTTTATTCTGTCTGAAATTTTCGAAAAGGCAAGTTTTGATCCCTATAATTTTCAGATCACTATACTTTTAGGGAACAGATGAAAATTTTTAGTGGATAAAAAAGTGCCTGTATCTACTGTTTAATTACTAAAATACGGTCAACAATGCTATATGTTTAAGAGGTTTTAAACTATATTCTCAATGGGTGACCCTCAATTAAACTCAAAAGGTTTCAAATGGTTCGCTCAGCGATCTTTAGAAAGCTAATGTAGACTATCTACAGTTGTTATTTTTACAATAGAAAGAAAAGGAGGCAAAGAAGAGAAAGGAGAAAGCTCCAAAGCAAGTCAAGCAAGTGTTGTACCACAAACCAACTGGAAACAATGTGTGTGGAAATCAGGCAGCGGTACTGATAACGGAAAAATTAAGGTATACTTAAATGGGATAAGATCATGAATAACACACTCCAGAACAAAATTCATTCCTTTTCAAATAAAATATTCTCAAGAAGAACGTCCCCACTCTAATCTATGGAATTTTTCCAAAGTAATAACATTTGGCAACACATATCATAACATAGATTAAAATTAAATTGCATTTCACTTGACTTTGTTTCTTGGGGATAGAAAATAGGAAAGCCATCGTACATGAGTAAAATGATTCCTGACTATATGGATATGGGCAACAAAACTTTAACCTATTACCAAGTTTAAACTATAAAGTAATCTTGGCTGCAACAACTGTTATCTACAAGAGAGGATAATGGGACAGTAGAGAAGAAAACCACCAGACCTGCCCTTGGGATATGTGAATTTCACCAAAGTTATTTTTAGACCGATTAGACCCTTAATAATAATAATAATAATAATAATAATAATAATAATAATAATAATAATAATAATAATAATAATAATAATAACAATAATAATAATAATAATAATAATGATAACAATAATAATAATAATAGTAATAATAAATTTTATGTAACGAGGGTAACACGGGACAGTACTTTAACTGAATAACTAGTGACCCTCAAACTAAAACTATAAAACAAAAATTATGTGACCAAAAATACATATCGTTAAAGAAAAAGAACTATATATATATATATATATATATAAGGATATTTTATAATTGTAATATGGTCTTTACTCTTTTTAGGTCTTATTTATATATATATATATATATATATTTTATAATTGTAATATGGTCTTTACTCTTTTAGGTCTTATTCATATATATATATATATATATATATATATATATATGAATAAGACCTAAAAAGAGTAAAGACCATATTACAATTATAAAATATCCTTACAATGAATATCTACAAACTATGATTACAATAAGAATACAACTAGGACAGGTCAAGCGAGAGGAAGGCTGTGAAATGCCGGATTAGCATAAAACTAACATAAAAATGAAGTTTCACTTAAGCTAAAATGATCAACGTCATTGTATCTCTTTAAAAAATCCGGAGCCTGGTCGCGGACACGCTCCTTATTTTTCCAAGAACCGCTATTCTCTGGGATAACTTCTTACACAGTTCCTCAACGTGTACATCAAAGGTTAAGTGTTTGTCAATAGTAACCCTAGGAGTTTCTGACCATCAACCTGTTCTATGTCAGAGTTATCAAGTTTGAGTTCCAGTGAACAATCGTCAAGCTTGCATGGTATACGTTTCCCCGTAACAAGGAGACATTTCGTCTTCGAAGCGTTTGTAACCCTTTTTTTGGCAGTCGACCACCGTGAGACGTCATCTAGGTCCTGTTGAAGGGCTGATGACATGGCAGCAAGTCCATTAGTCACGTCTGATGATAAACTGAGAGTAGTGTCATCTGCATAGATGTCTACGGTAGAATGCTGTGCTGCCGATGGCAGATCGTTAATGAACAAGAGAAACAAAATGGGGCCCAAAATGCTCCCTTGCGGTACTCCGGACAACACAGTTCAAGGGAGGAATGACAGCCATTGATGTGTACATACTGTGTGCGTCCACTTAGATAACTGCGTAGTAAGTCCAGCTCGTTATCACGTACCCCATAGGCTTTCAATTTCTCTAAGAGCAGACCGTGGTCTATGAGGTAAAAAGCCTTTTTATAGTCAATAAACACAAGCCCCTATGCTCTGTTCCTGTCCAAGTCAAAGAGCAGCTGATCGACTAGGCGGATAACACAGCATGAAAAGACAAATTTAAGTTAGCATAATGTGAGCGTAAAGCTGGTGTAAAGTTTGGATTTACACACCTTTACACGACCTTTACATTACGTAAAGTTAAGCTTTACGCTACATTTACACTTTTGCGTAAAGCTGGAGTAAAGAAACACCTGTAAGTGGACTAAAAGCCAGCGTAAAGCTTGAATAAACTTCACATTTACGCCACCTTTACATAGATCTAAATAAAGTGTATAGGCATCTTTAGGCCAGATTTATATGTACTGTGATGTAAAGTTAACATGCTCTTGTCTTGCAGAAAAAGCGCGACAACAGACATAATACGTATAGCTGGTATAAACTCCACATTTACGCCACCTTTACATCTAAATAAAGCGTTTAGGCATCTTAGTAAGCCAGATTTAAATGTATAACTGGTGTAAAGTTGCAACATGCTCATGTATTGGCTGGAAGGCAAAGCTCAACAACAGACATGATTACATTTTCTGCTATTTTCTTCTTTGCATAATTATTTTAAACCCTAGAGGGAAAAAAAAATGAGAAAATACAACGTTGGGAAGGAAAGGAGCCAGTTAAATCAATCAATCTGCTGTATTCAATCAAATTCTGTTTTATTTGTTCAAAAATCATTTTCTTATATGTCACCATTTGTACTTAAATCAATTTTCATACTGTAGCGGAAACATTTAAAATCTTGTTCTATCATCTCTTTAAGTCTAACTGTAACAGACAAACGCAAAATTGAAAACCTTGTTATAATAATAACATCAGTTACCACTTAAAATAAAGTAAAATTGAAAACTTCATTCCTACAGCAGAAGCTTTGAATAAATTGTCTTATAATTTAATTCTTGCTTGAAATATTTAAACCTTTTTTCTAGAAATGCACAACTATATGTAAAATTGAAAACTTCATTCTTATCTTAAAGACAAGTTGAACAGAAACATTTAAAATCTTGTTCTATCATCTCTTTAAGTCTAACTGTAACAGACAAATGCAAAATTGAAAATCTTGTTACAAAATAACATCAGTTACCACTAATATTGAAAATTTCATTCCTAAAGCAGAATCTTTGAATACCTTGTCTTATAATTTAATTCTTGCTTGAAATATTGAAGGCTTTTTTCTTGAAATGCACAACTATATGTAAAGTTGAAAACTTCGTTCTTTTTTTAAAAAACAAGTTGAACAGAAACTTTAACACATGTTCTTGTATCAATGTTTGTATCAAATGCCTTGAAACAAGTGTCAAAATAAAAAAAAATGCAATCCCAAGTGTAGTAAAAATAGAAACTGTTACCTATTTGGTAGCATCACTGCAAAAAAAGTTGTTACAAAAATATAAATTAAAAAAAAGAATGTACTTGTAAAAATATCAATAAGCTGGCGAAGCAGAACGCCTATGGGCCACGTCCTTTTTTGACTTTAAAGTTTTTTTTTGTTTGGATGTCTTGGGAGTGGAGCTACAGTCAGGTAAGAGGGACGAAGTTCCAGATCTTGAAGAAAGGGTGCTGGGGGATGGCGTCACTGTTGCTGGCAGACGGGCAGAACTGGTACTGGGGGATGGAGTTGTAGTTCTTGCCGGACAAGATGAAGGAGAAGGGCGGGTGGGTGGACTTCCAGTTGTTGGAGGACGGGTACGGGAAGGTGGAGTTCCAGATGAAGGAGGATGGGTGCTGTTAGGTGGAGTTCCAGATGAAGGAGGACAGGTGCGGGTAGGTTGAGTTCCAGATGAAGGAGGATGGGTGCGTGTAGGTGGAGTTCCAGATGAAGGAGGACGGGTGCGGGTAGGTGGAGTTCCAGATGAAGGAGGACGAGTGCTGGTGGGTGGTATAACTGCTGGCGTAGGATGACTTGGAGTTCTAGTACATGTAGATGAAGATGGCCGGGTGCCAGGTGTAGGGGCTGGATTCTCAGCCCTGACTGCCCATTCTAGAGGCTCAGTGGGTCGGCGTCTTGTTGATGGCATTGGGTGCGGGTGTCTTGTCACCAGGTGTACCCTTTTGGATTCGAGGCTTCTGGAATAAGCCTCATCAAGCTCTCTCTTAGCTTTAGTTAGAGAAGTCCTCTCCCATGGAAGCCTTTTGACAAGGTATCTGCTTAACTTGCTCTGACCACTTTCATCCTCAGAAAAGTCAGACTCATCTGAGCTTGTGTACGCTAGGTTCCCTACAGCTTCTTCAACCTGTGCTTTTTTCTCATTTGACCAGGGCATGATCTTCAGTGTTACCAGCCTCTTCTGAGTTTTCTAGGAAAGTAAAAATAGCACAAGGTTAACAAGTGCAGCCCCAATTGTTTCCTTTCAAAAGATGCTTGTATCTGTAACATGACGATACGGTTAGAAACCTGATAGCCTGCGAGCAAGCTCTCCTATTTGGGCAAGCGAAGCGAGCCTCGCGAGAACGCGCGAGTGAGGGGCCGAAGAAAGGAGAGCTTGCAACCATCCCTTACAAATTTTCATTTCCACCCCGGAAACCCCGGGACTCCGCAAAGCGTGAAAACTGTCACCGCAAACGTGCCGCAGATTACAAAGTGACAACCGCCTGTCAAGTAGCGTAGAATTATTTATTTATAAATCGCTTTCGCAACAGCATCAAGGCAATGTTTTTAATCACTGATATGTTTTTTTTTTGTCACGGGGACATCGAACTTCAACGTGTCCGCTCGGATAAGAACTCACTACTTTGATTCTTTACTTCGTTTACCTTTGAAAAGTCGTCCATACTGCAGTGTAGAAGACTACTCCCCATCGCAATCACCGACAAAAAATTATTTGTCCGTCTGGAACTGGAGAATAGCGTTTTCCTGCACTTTGTTCTCTTAAGGTTTACTCCAGTTGCTTCCAACTCTTTCTCTTTTCCTTCTTTACGGTCAAGCTACACAGCTACACTGTCAAGTACATGTTTCTGAATTTTTCTACCCAGCAGAATTCAATCGGGCGAAGAAACCGATGTTGGAAGACAGCGCTTTAATCACTCTTCACTTTCACTCTCCCGGTTTTCAGAACTAAACAAGGCGCTTAACACAAATGAATACAACTGATGAAGGGTTTTCATTTTCCTTCCACAAGAACTACAAACTCGGTCCGACTTATCCTCGGCATGCAATATTCTCTTTGTAGTCAGGTCTCTTAGTGCAAAATATAGGCCGGATCGTTACAGACGTGACAAAAGTGTCAAATTTGGCACAGACCTTCCTTAACACCTACCGATTAATACTGGAGGGGGTGCCCGTTACAGATGGTCCTAATTACAGATAAAAGGGGGTTAACTTTCACCTATAATAACAGATTGGGTGCCCTGTGGTGAGTACTCTTCTTCTTTGATTTGGCTAAAAAACTTTTGTTTCAAATTTTTAAGTTTTTAATTTGGTAATGTTTAGTTCTTGTTACACTATTCAAAATAGTTTTACATGTACATTATACTGACTAGTGCCCAGTCTCCACACAGTAAATGTGGCCATGTTCACTGTGCGGCCTGTGCGGCTATCAGTGTCACTGCTAAGACTTGCCAGTGATAATATCATTACATATCAATTTAAACAGATCACAAAGCCAGCTTTCAAAGATGTCACACAATAACATAAAACTCAAATGTATCACATCCTAAACGATAGAATCGTGAAAGTTTGACATGCTACATGAAGGACCTCATGAACCGTAACTGACAACGCGCCCACTTTGTAATTGTGCAGCTAAGATTAGATTATAATTTGCTTCGTTGGTAACCCTGTCCTTGAGATAATGATTAAAACATGTCAAACTCGTCCTGAGGGGGAAAAGGAGGAGCAAGGGTGGCACAGTTGGTTAGTGCGCAGCCTTCGGTGTGCGAGGTCCCGAGTTCGATCCCGGTGTCAACACATCCTTATTTCAACTTCTTTCTTTTCTGTGTAGCTTTGACTAGCTCTAAATACCCTTAAAACGGAAAGTTAATGGAGAGAGGCGGGTAAAAGGAGCGCACCGTCGACCTCAAGTTTTTTCTACCTTTTAATTAAGCCCTGGGGACGAGGTTGTAAAACATGCCTCTCCAGGAATTTTTAACACTCTTTGTTTTTTACACATTTGCATTTAAAAAGAAGTGTATGAGGTCCCTGCATGCCTAGACACCTGTAAGCGGCTCATTCACTTCAGAGCCCTTGGACCAGAGTGTTAGTGGTAGGTCTATACGATCTTTCAAAACAAAGGAAGGTCGTCGCGTGCGTTACAATTTACAAACAAACTAACTTCAGAAGAGCTGAAATTTACAGGAACAAGGCCTCTTTTAGCCAACCAATGATGCATCATTTATGAAAATGAATGTAATGTGTTTGATGCAATTAGGCGAATACCCCGTGGTTACGAAATCTTACGATCATGAATTCCTAAAGAGCAATTCAGTTACCAGCTTTTCACAAAATAATGCTGTGGAAAATTACAGAAAATACCAAAAAAACCAAGGGTCAACAATAATTATGGCCTGGTCCCTTATAATAATGGAGTGGTCATGATAAAGAAGCCCATCAGTCCCAACTTTGACCACTCAAACAGATTTCTGACAGATTACATACTGCAAAACTTTGCATTCAATGATGCCTATGTTGCCACACTAGGAGCCTAGAAATCGGCTCCTGGTCACACCTTGTTTTTATTGCTGAATATCATTCTAAAGAGCTTTACGAAATATTTTGTTAGTAGGGGTGTTTTGAACATGGTTGATATGTAGAGATGCTGACAAAAACGAACACAAAAAAAGTCACAAAACGAGACGCATGAAACAACCGCAAATTAATATTCGTGTCACACCGATATAATGGCTCGTTTGGCTGCTATGCTGACGTTTTTGAAGATGGAAGTAGTATCACAGCTAGTCCCGGGTTAGATATACCGTTTACTACCAGTTTCACGGTTCCTGAGACTTACGGCCTGTTAACATAAAGGTGGGGGACCCCAGGTAGGTGAGGTAACCTGCTTAGGTGGGGTAAAAAAATAACCCCCCTTTACATGCAATCTTACAACCCAGCCATCCTGGGGTGCAGTTTCTCAAGATTATTGAATGGCCGCTAAGCACGTAAACAAGAGAAATGCAGGCAAACCACGTCTACGCTCACTTGCTGCTCTTGCTGCAACCTTCAGTGTTGTGGCTTTCTGTTGTTACCTTTAATAATTATGTGAAGCCAACCGGCGCCAAAGTGAATTTTGCGCGAATTTGATGTATCACGAATCCGACCCCGACTAGCCTGGGTTACCTCACCTTGACATGGCAAAATTTGACCTCAGCTGAGAGGGTTACCTGGAGTGGCAGACCGAGCTACCCACCTTGAAGGGTGACCCCACCTATCATGTAAACGTGATCAAATGAAAATGAGAGATTATATGGACGGCGGGTTACCCCACCTAAGTGGGTTACCATGCCTATCCGGGGTTCCCCCTCCTCCATTTAAACAGGCCCTAAAAGTTAGCCCGGCCCCCTTTCTACAGTTTCAGTAGTTGAACCATTCACCATTTATCATTTGAGTCAATCTTGTACCACTTGAGTCTCACTTTTACGACTTGATAAGCTGTTATTATTTTTCGACATGAGTGCTTCAATGCCAAATGTAGAGGCTTCATGATAAACTGTGCTGTTTTTTGAAGCTTGGGCTAACTTTTTTCTTTTTTTCGTTTATGAGACCAGATTCTTTTTTGCTTGTTTTTGCTTTGTAAAGCTTAAACAAACTGCGGGAATTGTAAATGATATGACTTGTGCCACGGTGCTTGCTTCTCTGTCAAAACATGCACTTGCGTCCAGCAGATAACTGGATAAAGAGAGACTGAAAGGCATCCAGGCCTATGTTCACTGTATGTTAAACTGAAAAATTAATTACCTCCCTTGGAAAGAACTATTTTGGGTTCTGTTATTTCGTTATTTGCTCTTCATGAATAGCTGTCATAAATCCCTGATAATATGTGATACAACAGACTCTTTGACAATTTCTTTTTTCTGAAATTTTGTGTGTGAATCGCTATGCCATACGCTTTCTTTAGCTTAAAGTGACATGTAATGACAAGTAATACTTGATAAATAAGACCTAAGCCACTCAATAAGGCCTCCTCTAATTGAAGTACATTAGAAAAGGGGAAGAGAACCCCAGAAGCTGAGTACTTGCAAGTTATGAAGCAAAGACGAGGCCATCTTAGAAATAACTTATGAAAACGTGGGCGGACTGTGCACTTGCTTTAAGGGCACAGTAATAATCAACCTAATTATACAATCAATAAGCTAATAATGGATGGGAACGCCAGATGTTCGAGTGAAATTGTTGTTTGCAACATGAGAATAGCATTCAGAGTAATTTAAGGTATTAAATAACAATTTTCAATCAAAACACCACAGGGACCCCAGCTGGTGAAATTTACAATAATTAAATCCTGTTTAGCACGCTTCAGTGGCATATTTGCATTGGGCACCCCCTGTAATATTCATGGTACTGCAATAAGCTATCGCTGTGCAAAGTTTGGTGTTTTTGTCAGCTCTGTAACGATCCTGACCTTAACAGACCTGACTATTGCGAGAATTAACGAGCCCGTCTGCATTGAGGGCTGAAACAAGTTCTCGGTACCAATCTGATCCCCCTGAGAACCAAATTTGACAAACAGACGAAGCGGGTGCCAGCTTGGCCTGTTATCAATCAACTTTGATTTCCGGAACGTCATTTTTCAGCCAATGGTATTTCCCTTCGTCTGGGCGAAGTACAAATGAAAATTTGTAAGGGATGGTTACAAGCTCTCCTTTCCTCCGCCCCTCGCGGCTTCGCCGCTCGCTCGCGCGTTCTCGCGAGACCTGTTTTACTCGCCCAAACAGGAGAGCTTGCTAGCAGGCTAGAAACCTGAGTAAAATAACTTACTGGTTTAAGAACCTACTGGCAGAAAAATTGCAATTTTATAAAATATATGAACCTGTTTAGCCAGGAAAGGTCAGGCAGGTTCTCATAAGTGGCTTACAGTTAAATTTATTTATGATAAAGTTTGGGTGTAAGATTGCAGTGTTAGAAATTACCCGGTGAGTTTGTTTATTTACTTTCTGATAGTCAACAACAAATTTCTTCATAAAAATTAAGAACTTTCAATTACTATCCCTAAATGCAAGAATCTATTTTGTTGGACTTAAGAAATAAAGGTTCTTACACGCAAGTTTTGTGTGTACATGTATTTACATATATTCTTGTAAACAGTAATGCTACTGGATGTTGTTTATGCTTAGCAACCAAAAGGAAAAACTAATCATGGTAATTTTTAGTACTTTATAAATGTGTTATTGTGTGAAATTCTCGCCCCGGTACAAGAACCGGGGTGAACTCATGCTGGGGTGACTCGCGCCTGCATGACATTTTGTGGTGGTATCATGTAAACAAATATAGAGCTATGAGAGGGAACCGGAGTGAACTTGCCCCGGGGCAAAAGTTGGCCCGGTGTCGTGTAAACACCCCCTAAGTTGCCAGAGGACACCGCCTGCTATTACTAATTAATAATATTTTTTCCTGCACTTATGGCCAAATTACTACAACCAGCACAATTTTACTTGACACAGGGTTCCCCACATGCCTCTTTTCACAAACCACGACTAAAAATTTGAAAAAAACGATAAGGCATTTTCCACCAAGGGTCTAATAACAGTGCAAAACCTGAGCAGCAAATGATTTCAATGTCCACAAATTCACACAACTGAATAAGATTCATCTGACTGTTAAAGATTCAAAATGTTTGACTAGTATGAGTTAAAGGCTTTCCTTAAAGGCAATAATATTTACATTTAGAACCCTACTTGCAGTTGAGTGAAAATCAGGGTAAAATGCTACATGGAAACCCTATAATAATAATAATAATAATAATAATAATAATAATCATAATAATAATAATAGTAATGAACTTTATTAAAGTCTCGTGTCTTATAATACAGGCACAGTGCCTTACTAATTGGGGAGACTGAAGCATATATATATGTTAAATTTATTAACAATGGTTTATTATATTATTAGAGTTCAATGTTTTACAATGTATATCTTTTTTTATTTTAATGTATGCATTTTTATAAAAGTGTCATCCATTAATATTGTTGTAAAGTGCTATGAAAAACCATTGGATGTACATTATTATTATTATTAGAGAGTAAGCAGTGCGCAAAGAAAGTAGTGTCCGATAGCCCGGGGCTAGTGGATTTTGCTATCGAGCTAGTGAATTTTGAACTTAACTTGCCCGATGGGCAAGTGAAGTTTTTTTGAGGAATTCAAATTAAAGAAGAACTGTGAAATCAATTCTGCTCATCAAAACGGTTTGGGGGCTAGTTGAAATGACATTTGGGCTAGTCTATGCTAGCTTCAGCTTACCCGAATGGCAAGCTTTAAAAATCACCTTCTTTGCACCCTGGTAAGAGAGAAATTTTCCTATCAACTTGTCCTTCACACAAGCAATACATTAAATTTGGTTGTCTGAAACCTAGAGTTCTTGTCCAAAAAGTTTAGCTTGCAACGGGCATTTAATGTTTTTAATCACATTATTTAATCACATTATTACCCTTGTATATTATTTTTGAATTAAACCTACAACAGAGCTTGTAAAAAAGCAAATGGATGAAATGACTGGCAGTGGACTGGCAAAGTTGAATGGAATATTTAAGGCAACTGTTTCTTATCTTTATTTTTCTAATAAAAAATGTGCTTGTCCCACGGACAAGTCATATCAAAGGTTTACATGTCCGAACTAAATTTCTACCAGTCCCGGACTAAAGTTCCAATCAATAAACATTCCTAGCCTTCTCATGAGCTCCACCAAAGACTTTCAGGGAAAATATAGAAACATATAAGCACCTTATTACCAAAAGTTTCAAATTTTCCTGAAACTTTACCTAATATATTTTTTTTTCCTTTTTAATACGAAACGTTCAAGGTTCCTAGTTAATGTAACAGGAGTGAAGCCACTTTGCTATTTAAGTAACGCTCCGGCTACAAGCGATAGCGAGAACAATAGGGCCGCGGCAACAGGAACCGTTAATGTCTGGCAAGAGTGAGCGTGTTAATTAAATTAGATTTGGTTATCCCATTGGATAAATCGATATTAGCGCGAAATTCAAATGGTTTCAAGAAAATTTCAATCCTTAAAAGTTTAATTGCACGGCTGAAATCCACACATTGTCTATAACACAACAAAAGCTTTGAACATGCTAAGTATAAAAAAAATTGTATGTGAGGAACTTTGGTTTTCGTACGAAACACTTTACCGAACGCAATGATTTGCCTTGTTTTCGTCGTAATCTTGACAGATTAGTCAATTATTCACTCAGGTCTATTATGTTGGCGGAAAATATATACAGTTTACCGCCAAAAAGAGCATTGAACAGAACAGTAACGTGTAACAGTAACGTGAATGAAAACAAATACAATAAAGTTACTTTGCAGGCATTACAGGCCCTGTTGAACTTTGCGTTCACTTCATTCATTGGTCTTCAGCGCTATCCTCGGATAGCGTTATCATCGGATCTTCGTCGCTATCGGAGAAATCCCAAAAATAGTCTTTGCTGATTCCATCTAATCGTAAGCCAATCCCTGGCAAACTAGGAAACGTCTTTGAAAGAAATAACAGTTCTTTGTCACTGAGTTTCTTCCCCCGGCAACAAATGTCTATAACGGACTCGTAGGACAATAGACACGCTATGGTCAGGACACCAAATTGACTGTTGTAGGAGATGTTCACACTTCGCAAACTTTGCAGTTTATATTTCGCATTGAAGATTGCCTCCTCCGAAATATTCCTGCAGTTTTCGATGTCTAATGTTCTTAGCTTCTGTGCTTCCGTCGCTAGTCTTAGGAAATTCTTCGAACATATTGTTGTGCCCGCAAGACTGAGCTTTTGAATTCCTCTAAAGAGCCAAAGTGGGACTTTCTGGTATAACTTGCCAGAGTTGCTCATATCCAGAACATCACAACTTAGTAGAGCTTGCCGTATCAAGCGATTGCCAGAAAACACAAATCTCCACCAAGAATAGCACAATCCAGAGACGGCTATCAGATCTTGTGGCCCTAGAAACTCAAAAACCAGCTCCCAAAAGAAGTAATCCGCCAATGGTAACATTCTCGAATCGTACTAAATGCTCGTTGCTCATCGAAAGGACAAAGAGTAGAATAAACAATAAAGGGAATTATGCTAGTTACACGGCTCAAAATCCTATCACCTTTTTATTGGATGTTACACTTCCGTTTGCGGTCCAGATCAATGCATCGGAACTTTTTCTGGACGCGATCTATTTTCACTTGGCCCTTGACGTAGTGAATTCACAATAGTTTGTTTGCAGCGCTGCTTTTTTACTCTACAATTTTCAATTGAGTAATGGATCAGAGGTGAGTTTGAATTCCAGAGTCTGTATTTATTTGGAGAAGCGCAAACTTTACGTCTAACTGTCTGCTTTTTTTGTTCAAGAAAGCGACCATGCCAATCACAGACGTCCTCCGATTGTGAACAGAAGCGGATGAAGCATGACTGCAACGTAAGTGTTATTTTTCGGCTCGACATTATACCTAGCAAAAAATCACCAAGACTTATCTTTCTTTCGTTTATCTTTTTGTTTACAGAAAAAGCGTCTTATTCAGCTGTATGGAAAGAACCAACTGTCAAATAATAAACTTCGCATCGCTGAAGAATTCGCACTGGGGAAGAGTTTGACTCAACTGGCCTCGGAAATGGGCATCGCTAAAGCAACTGCGGAGGTGTACGCCATCGATTGCCTTGCAGCTGGCAGGAAGATTGACCATGAGCAACTAGCAAGTTTTCTTGCCTTAACAGCCGATGCTTTTCAGCGCATCAAAGTCACCATTCTATCGAATGAAGACAACAGGCTGCGCACAATACGTGATTCACTTAGTGAGGAATTTTGCTACAATCAGATCCGTTTTGTCCTGGCATGTTTAATTCACGAACTGGAACTTTGAGAGTGCTCTCCGCAGACTTCTTTTGCTTTTCATTATGTTTCCGTTCAGAATAATCAGAATAATCAATAAGTAGCCCAAGAGGTAGGCGCTTTTGTTTTAGAGGTGTTATGAAATGAGGCACGCGCGCGCGCTTGAGCGCGTGTTGTTGACATGCCACGCCTAGAAATTTACAAAACTGACCCAGAATGAAGGGATAATCAATCCAGAGATCAAGCGTCCACACATGATCATCTAATTCTCGTTAGTTAAGCACGATTTTGTTATTTTTGATTTGTGATTGTTGTGAAAGAAAAATTGTGTTGTCATAGAAACAATAGACCCTCGAAGGCACAGAACGACAGCGAATAGAAACCTTAGAATAGGAAATTATGATGTAATAAAAAATTATGACTTGATCATCAAGACACTTTATTTACAATAAAATAATGAAAAGTATAGTTAGGGCCTGTCTACATGGAGGTGGGGGGATCCCAGATAGGTAAGGTAACATGTGGCGGGCCACCCCACCTATCATGTAAACATGATCAAATTCTATGAACAGGTGTGTTACCTCACCAACCTGAGGTCCCCTACCTCCATGTAAACAGGCCCTTAGAATATATCATGAATACAATAGCTTAACTTTGAAAAATTTTAAGATCAATGGAAAATAATGTAAAATAAATGCACCTTAAATAATACTTTGTCTTGTAAATACTATTAAAGGGGGGAGGGCTTCAGTAGTTCATAGGTTATTCCATTATTCTAGTTAGTTCCTGAAAAAATCCTGGGTTGAGTGGTATGAGATAGAAGATCACAAACACTTATGTTGTTTTAGAAACACAGAACTCAGAAGAAAGACCCCCAGTCCCATTCCTTTTTTTGCCCTTGAAATAAAGTAAAAAAGCATTTTTACTTATCACTCCATTTATAGAGAAGACACCCCTTGTCTCAAGCTATATTCACAGCTATTCAGAAGCTTCTAGGACTGCAGGAAAGTCAAACCGAAACATGCCTTTTGCATACACAGACTAGTACAATTTTTGGACTAGAGTACAAATTCTCCAGCAATAATTGACAACAGATATGTTTTTGTGTCATGCTTTTTGAGTCCTACAAAAATTGAAAAGAAAAAAATGCGAACGTAGCTGCAGACTAACAATGAAATTACCATCAAATCCTTTTCAAGATAAAAATAATGTACTTTACAGTGTGCAAAGAAAGCCATGTCCGATAGCCCACGCCTAGTGGATTTTCCTACTGGGCTAGTGATTTTTGTTTTTAGCTTTGCCCGCGAGCTTGCCGAAAAGGGCAAGTGCTGTTTTTTGGGAAAATCAAATTACAGAAGGATTGTAATCAATCCTGCTAATGAAAAAGGGTTTTGGGGCTAGTACACGCTAGCTACAGCTTGCCCGAATGGCAGGCTGTAAAACTGACTTTCTTTGCACCCTCTTAAATTAAAAGAGCCATGGTTTTACAACTGGGAAAATCATACATTATGAAGCACAAGAGAAAAGATCCGCCATAAAAATATACTTGATGCAGATCAATGCACCTATGAATGTGTCCCCAGTGCTGAATGAAGAATTCTACATAAGTGCATCAAAAGAAAAAACATCTGTCCTAGTTAAAGTAAATCAAAGTTGAAATAACTATTAAACACTTGTCACTGATTTTCATCGTCTTCACACTAGGCAAAATGATCTTGCAATATTACCTCTGTGAAGAGAGTTTTTTACACTGTACAGAAACAATTTCATGAATATAGAATTGAGGTGATTGAACAAATTGAAAGGCCTACTCCTTTTGTGTGAATCAACATTTGGTCTAGCCAAACAGCAAAATTCTGTGCCTGACAGTGACTGTCAGGATTGAAACGTGCAATTACTGCTCCTTTTGTTCCATGAATATGGGAGTCAATGAAGAGGAGAATGCCACAACTGTCCACAATAATAAGCATAGCCATTTCAAGAGCAACCAAAACATGAAAGGACTGTCGTTGCTGTGACAATGTTTTAATAACTGTCTCTAACTGGTCCAAGGGGTTGGCTCCAAACACATTGTATTCGCGAAGCACTTGTCCAACTTGACACACTTCTCCAGCTAGTTCAATTCCCTCTTCCACAGACACATTAACTCCTTCAAAGTCAAACAGTTGATCGTGGATGTCATTTCCAGCTCTTATGGCATGTTCAAGAGCAGTCTGCCAGTGACTGTTGAGATTTTCACCAACTAGGGTGTTGTCCAGACTGAACTGTTTATAGAGTAGACCAAAGTTAAAAGCAATAAAAACACAAGCATTGCTTCCATTTCTGTTGTCAATTGTTGACTGTGACATGTTCCAGGGGAAATACCATTCCGTTACTCCATTTCCTATACTGGCTCCCAGCAAGTCAATTTGCAGTACTGGGCTTGGTTGTCTAGCATTTGCAGTGGCAGCTGATGCAACAGAAGGCTGGGTTGAATTGAGGGTGGCAGCTGAGGAAACAGAAGGCTGCGTGGAATTCAGAGTGGCAGCTGCGGTAACAGGTTGCTGGGTAGGAATCAGGGTGGAAGCTGAGTGAAGAGAAGGCTGGGTTGAATTTAGGGTGGCAGCTGAGGAAACAGAAGGCTGGGTGGAATTCAGAGTGGCAGCTGAGGTAACAGGTTGCTGGGTTGGAATCAGGGTGGAAGCTGAGTTAACTGAGGGCTGGGTTGAATTTAGGGTTGCAGCTGGAGCAGTAGACAGCACATTATTTCCATTGACAGCTGCTGCAGTGGCTGAACATGACGCGGAGGTCAACTGTCCCTGTAGCTGTCGAAGATTCGCTGCCAGCCTTTCATTTTCCCTTTTTTGCTTTTGGTGGTAACTACTCCACCAGCTTCTGATCTGGCTCTCTTTCAAGACGTCCAGCCTCCTTTCTCGCATTGCTGCAATGCAGTCTGCAGGATCTGCACGGATTCCCTCATTCGCCTGTCTGTTGTAGAATTCAATCATCACTTGTTTTTGTGCAAGGGTGAAAGTCACCCTCTTTGTGCCACCAGTTTTTAGGGCATAGCCAGACTCTGCTATGTGTCTGGTTAGCGCCTCCTCAGCGGGAACCATCGTTGCTTCTATCACAGGGTCTGGAGCATGCTGGATAAATCGAATGCTATATGGCATTCCAGAAGGATTTCTTCTGTCTGTTGCAGTGACACATAGCTCTTCTGTAGTAGTCGCTCCAGTTGATCCTGCAATAGGGCGTGATCGGCTGGCCAGGGCTTGGACTTGACCTTTGGTCTTTTTCAGTTCTTTCCCAACCCCAGCAATAGATCTGGCAATCAGACCACCACTGTACTGGCCAGAAGTTGGAAACTGAAAGTTGCCATAAAGGGATATGTCTTTCAGTGTCCCCACTTTGTCGGGTGCCTTTCTCCTGTCTATGTGCAGCTTACGGCACTGTACATTCTTCATTGACTATTACAAAACAAAACAAGAAAAGGGGAGATGTCAAACTCTGCAACATGACCACAAAAACATAATTAATGTTTCAGTCAAGTCAGTTAACCTGTATCCCCCCCCTTTGATTATAGTAATGAGTTGCCTATTTGACAAATGAATCCATTTCTTGTTGCTGCAAACAGTATGACATTTAAATCTGCATTCCTGCATGGGTGATAAGCAATTTTTTTAAAGATTACTACTCTGTATTTAGTCATATTCAAAAATTTTGGATAAAATTGCTCTGAAAACATTTACATCAACTTCAAGAAAACTGAGCTTGATAGAAATTTCATGACCACCTTGCATGTACATTCACTGTTCATCGCACATGCAGGAATGCAGAGATGAATCTGAAATCGACAACTATCAACAGATTCAACATTTAAATAATTAGTTCATTTACGGAATATTGGGGATAAGACTTGACTTGACTTTACTAAATTGTTTTTGCCTACCAAAGCAGTTGAGGGAAATTGCTTCAAAATTCTACTAGGCTGTTGTATTGCTAGAAGATTATTTCATCCGTGTTATCAGTTTTGCACCTACACAATAATCATTTATTACAAAAAAGTGACAGGTTCTCAGGAATGAGTAATTTCCACACACCAAGAATATAGAAATGTGCATGAAATGTGGATAAAAAGTCCTTTGTTCACCAATGAAAGGAGCCATCTTAACTTGGTCTAGAAGTTTTCACATTCAATAGAAATCCCTATTGGCATTCAACTCATATTAGTGACAAAGGTAATGACACATACCCCAATCAACTCTCCAAGCTGTTGTCCTGTCTCCAGGTTGTTCCCAACTCGCACCCAACGTACTATCTTATGACTAATATGTGCAAAGTGAGTGTCGAGCTGGGACTTCCCCTCTCCTGCTTCAAAGTTGTTATATTCCACCAAGGTTAAATCAAATACTTGATTAGCTTCAGCCAGATAGAACAAGAACCCTGAATTGTGATAGTGAGGTCCATTATCTGTTGAAATAAAACAATGCACAAACAACGCACATTAGAACAGAAGTAGATTTTACAACATTTTATGTAAGCAGATATAGAGGATAATTTTATGTCACATGAAAATGTAACACTATACATGCGATAAGAAACAAAAGACCTGAAGGCTACATTTCTTGGTCACGACTCAAGTCACCAAGGTTAAACAACAAACTTGCAAAAATGACTTCACTTTGTAATGACATAAGATAGCAATATTTTGTCTACAGCACTGCTTTTTTGTTCACTTTGATACTGTTGTATAATAATAGAAAAAGTTAGGTCAGTGCAATTGCCAATCTCTTGGTACTATTAAACATTATTGAACACAGTTCTCAAGACGTACCAGAAAACAAATACACTCTGAAGCCAGGAAATGCCTTTTGCAGCCATGTAAAACCCACATCCATAGCACTCTGGGTAAACCAGGAATCCTGTTTGGTGTCCTCTGACCATAAGTCTAGGACTTCCTTGACTTTCTTGTTTTCATCCACTTGAGCTATGGCAAGGAGGCCATGTAGAGATATGCCTCTCTTGCCATACCAGTCCCTTTGAATTTCACGAAGACGTACACCAAGCTCCAGTTTCATTTTATAATCAATAATTACAACTGCTTCACCTGGCTGGAGATTGTTGAGCACCAATTTGTGATAGTCCCCTTGCTGCCTTGTTCTCAACAAATGACTGGTGTATAATACACTAGAGGTCATCACTTCCTTCAGTTCCTCCTTCAATCTGTCACACTCTGAGCGATCTGCTATCCTCCCTATGTGTTCTTGCACAACTTTGTCAACTTGAACCGAAGCAACAACATCAGGACAAGAATTTGGATGGGCTTCTGTGCAAGACCCAAAGGCATGTGCCATGCAGAGTTCAAGACAGGGGGAATGCCTCTCAACAATTTTTCCAAACTGCGTCTTAAGGAACTGCTGGTGCTTTGTGACCTTTGCTTTCTCTTCTTTCAGCGAGATGGATGCACTACGTTCGAGGTCACTCAATAAAGATTGCATCTTGTCATAATTAGAATGTCCATAATCGTTACAGAGATTGCAAAGTCCTGCCAACATTGTGTCAGAGCGGAAGCTTGGTGGCAGATGGCTATAAATATAAGTTCTCTTTACACCATTAGGGAACTCCAAGAGGTACTGGTTCACCAGGTTCTTGATGCTATCTTTCCAATATCTGACTGGAGTTTCTTGACCATCAACAATAATGCTCCTGCAGGATGAAGGTCTTGACACATCATCCCTCAGAAAGAATTCTGAGAGTTCCTCAAGAACAGCTGGACTCACACACTGTCGTTGGAACTTAAACTTAGATGGTGGGGTCCCACCACGACCAAAGAGGATAGCATGAACTTTTCCAGCAGTAACTGTGTTTGGCGAGCAGCCAAACCGTTCTTGCAGAAATCGGTAGGGGTAATCCATTGCAACAATGGACAACAGTCTTCTCCTTTCATCTGCATAACAAGTGATCCTTCCTACAGAGTCAGCAGCGACAACCCTGCTCCGAAATGTTTGTGGTGTTTTGTCACCTGTCAATGTCAATCTACTATCTTTTAAAGTTGAGCCAATAAACAACTTTGCCTTTTGAGCTGCAGCCCTCTTCCTAACCTCACTTGTCTTTTCTTTGGACATGCACTCCTTGTAGTCCTTTATAAGAGATTCCAAGATTGGATTTTTCTCTGTACTTGACACATTGCAACCAAAGGAGGAAATCCATTTCTTACTCCCAACTATTTCTGCAACTAATTGAGGCAAGTCTGTTTCTTCAAAGTGTACAGCTCTCAAAGCTACTTGTCTCATGTTGTCAATAATTTCACCCCTGAGCTCTCTCTGCCCACGCTCACATTGATTTTTGTAGGGAACTTCTGGAACAATGGGTCGCTGTGTGCTTTTATCTACCTTACCACACGAGGTTACTGGTACAGGCATGTAATCATCAAAATCAACTTGTGCGCCTGAGCTGGCAACATCATTTTCAAGTCTGGAGTAAGCATCCTTGGGAAAAAATAAATACACGTACATGTCAGAAAGTGATGTTATCATATTTAGTTAAGTCTGGTTATGTAGTGGGTATCATATTGTAACCAGTGAAGAGTGAATAACAAAATTTAAAAAAAAAGCTGAAATAGTTTTGAACTCAGTCAGGACTCAAAATAACATTTCCTATTTTTTTCTTGTAAATTTTAAGTATTTTGGTTTTCCGTAACCACTTCCTGATCTATGGCAACCCTGTTGCATTGTGCATGTAAGGTGAACGGGATGGCAAAGAGATGGATTCTTGCACAAGGCTAAGACCTTTTTAGATACATGCCGTATTTATATTCTGCCATAACAATAAATTATAGGATGTTCCAAGTTTATCCTAATCCACCTCCTATGGGTGAGTAACCTCTGGATCGAGATAACTGCAGGTGTAGTAGGAATCCAACTTCCAAGGGCCCTTAAAACATTTAGCCTGCGAAACACAGATGTATTTCTCGTCCTCTCTTTTCTCCCCACCCGTTATTTTTTAGAGGGAGAGAAGCTAAGACTGAAAATACATCAGTGTTTCGCAGGCTAGCAAAATGAGGCCATATGAAAAGTTTATCAAAGGGTGTTAACAAAAAAATTAAGGTGGGAAGAATCTGCTTATCTATTGGGTAGGTTCACAGAAAAGAAAATAGGTCATCCCATTATAAGTAATATAGCAGAATTTGAGGGGTGTAATTCTGACAAGATTTTACAGGCAGGCAAACATATTGCAAAATCGTAAAATACAATTATAACTTTTGGATCTCAGCTAAATCCATCAGATTTCAAGACAGCACTCTTTCACCTAATATCTGAAAATTCCAGTTCCCAAATCTTTTATTTGCCGCATTTCCAAAATGGTGGATTTCAGCCCGAATAATGTCAGTTAGAGTACTGCCTATATAGTAAACAAAAGGAAACGCTAAGAACCTGTAGTTAGCAGGATATAATCCTGATAAAGGAAAAGGTAATTCATACAGTGCAATTTCAAAATCATGCCTAATAAACCGACGCGCATTTCAAGCACAAAAGGTGGCATGTGAATCAAGAACGTGTGAGCTTACCTCAAGTTTACTACACTTCTCTTCCACTTGCAGCCGTGAGCGGCAAGAAATGCAAATTTTTCTCTTGCGATTTTTGTTTTTCGGGTCATTGGAAGAAAAATCCAAGATTTCGGCCTCTTCTCGAGTGCACTGCCGCAAATTGTTGGAATCCACAGCACCATGCTTCCATTCATCGTGACGAGAACAACAACAAGACGAAACAAACGGCATCGAGGAGCCCTCGCAGATCGAGATAAAAAACTATATACAACTATTTACAACTAAGAAGTGATATTTACAACTTTAAGCGCGTTTTAGCTCCACCAAAAGGGAAAAACACCGTCAAACTTCGACTCACAATATGGCTACCACGCGAGTGTAACATGAGCTCTCAACTTCGCAAATGTTGTGTTGCGAAATAACTCGGGATGCTCACATACGATTTTTGCACGAACAAGTATAACAATGCTTCGTGACGTTTTCTTTCAGTTTTCGACGTCTACGAGGATGAAATCGGTAAAAATCGTAAAAAAATCGTAGAACCAAGGATTTCGGCCAATCAGAACGCTGCATTTTAATTAGTTAAGCCAATTATTTATGGTTGAAAAAAACATTCCATGCATTCCTTTGCCGTTGGTGCTATCGCTGATGTCCGGAGCGTTACTTAAAGCCCTTATCCTCAATCTTGAAAACAATGCCTCCTAATAATAATGTACAGTGTACCCTGTAAATAAAGCAGCCTATTTTCTTTCCTTGCAACCAGGGACATTTCACAAGAGAGACAGTTGTATTTGCAGATCAATAATGGTGTATGTAGACAAGAGAATCCAAAACAGCTATGACTGCTATGACTCTCTTAAGAGTCTTATCTTTCACAACTTGTTTCTTTAAATTTTATTTTCCTTTAAACCTAGATTTACTGACGATACAACTATGGTGCAAATAGAACAATTTCTGGTTTCTAACATGACTGTGTGCTTTGCTTCCCAAAAAGTAAGGCATTCAATTTCCTGACAGTATGTGCTGCACTGTATCCTCTCAAGAACCACAATATAATTTGATAGGAGCAGTGCACAATGAAGATTAACATTAATGGTAATATATGAAATGAATCATACTTTGAACTGCAGATGAAGGTATGAAACTGTGAAGACGTTAACAACTATGTTGACACTTACATGAAAGTACATTCTAATTCAATCATGGTCTGCATTAGCCATGCATTGAAAATGAAAATGTCTATTAAAAACGTAATTTAAAATAAAAAATAAACTTTTGTACCTCCTGCTTCAAAAAATACATGCACTCTGTTAAATTATTCACCACTTATGACCTGGATTGCAGAGAGGTTTTGTTCGCTATGACTGCCCGGGGAATTGGGAAGCTTGGGTTTGTTATTGACTGACGCATGAAAATATAGAACCAGACTACGTAGATTATCTTTGCCTACTTGCAAATTCAACACTTGTTAACACTTTTCTATTCTGTTTATTAGTTCTTCTATAATCTGTGAAAATTTTCATAAGAATGTTTGTATCACATTACATGTAAGCTTACTTTATACAGATGTCCTTTTAATTCCATTATTTTCTTTTAGTAATTCCCAGTACAAGTAAGGACCAAACTCCTATTTTCCAGTACAAAACAAGGAAATTCTACTCCTTTAGACCCCACAAAGTCCTTACATGATTTTACATTGCTCACTGAAATGTTAGTTACTGAGTACTTGAGACAGTCATTCGAACTCATCATAAACAAGTTGGAATTAAGCTTAAAAAGTTAGAGAAAAGGCGAGCCAGGACAACTTACCTTGCCTTACTATCTGCTCTTTTCAGCGAGATCTTGAGTATCGAAGAGCCTTAGTAATACGTGTAATACAGTCTTGGTCTGTGTTGTGAACATTCCAGTGTTAATGCTTGCGCTTCACACGATGTTTCTGTCTCCATTTCTGACTGAGTATCTCGTTCCGAAAGGGTTGCTCTACACTTGAGAAGTGATCGATTACTAAAGGCTGATAGTGCCATTATAATTTGTAACAACCTTAAGATGTCCTGTGATGCTATCAAGAAGCATAATATATGAACGATCTCCAAACTTTCAAAGAAGCAAGTTTGAAACCGTTGCACGCTTTCAAAATGGACGCCAAATCAACGAACCCTGATTGAGCATGTGCAAAGGAACAAGCCCGCTGACCAGGTGTCCCTTCACTCTATTGTTTCCAGGCCCCTTTCTTTTAACAAATTGTCCGTTCCCAAAACTGAAGTCCGCGGACTTAAAATAAGGAAGCGATAAAGGAGATTCAACAATGAAGCCAGTACTCCGGTGAATGTAAAATAGTCAGAGTAATTTCTAAATGCGTTCTTTCTCTTTAAGTAATGCGTTCTTTTTTTAAGTAAAACTCGCCGTTTTTGCGAGACGATATTTTTTCTTTATTTTCCAATTATTTCAATTTGATCAAATTACAGGTGAAACTCTCTACAACGGCCATCTTAGGGACATCGAAGAAAGTGGCCATAGTAGAGAGGTTGAAAGAAGAGTGAATGTATGCCATGTATCGACCGTCCGCCAAAAAAAAACAAAACAAAACAAAAATGGCCCGTGTAGAGAGGTGACCGTTAAGGAAGAAACTGACTGAAATCAATGAGGCAATACTACTGAGTATTGAAGGCTATTGTGTTCGCCGCGACAGATATACCGTTTTTCGAAAATTGCCGCACAGTCGCAAGCTATATCTTTGCATGAACTCTGCCAGCAGAATTTTCTTTTCAGCGTCATTTTTAAGCGTGTACGAAGTCGTTCGCATCACCAAAAAAAAATTTGCGTGGTTGGCTTGTTTACATCGCACACCAACATCGAACACCAAATGAGTGATCAAAAAAACTATGCGAACTAGTATCAGGACACAAACGACTTACTAAAAACAGTGCCGGGAATAAATTCCTGTTAGGAAGCTAGCATTATATGACAACCTTACTAAACCTTTACTTGTAGCGTAAATGAGCGTAAAGCTGTTACAACAACTTTATGCTAGCTTTACGCAACCTTTAAGAGCCGAGCGCGTAAATTTACCTTTACAAACCTTTACGCGGCGTGGAAAGTTTGCGTAAAGTTGGATGACCAACTTTACGCAGGTTTACGCAAACTTTAATTTTGCGTAAATCTCCATTTTCATGCTGTGTAAAAGCGCGGTCTCGGTAGAGTGGAATTTGCGAAAGCCAGACTGAAACCTATGTAGCAGAACATTTAAAAACGCTTGAAATTCATGGGAAGTTGGTTGTTGGCGGAGAAGTTCTCAATTTCATTCAATTTTAATGTCAAGAAAAAATAATGGAGCATTATATTCTCTTGATGTGTCGCCATTAAAATATTCTGCATTGTTTGCTTTGAGGCAGTCGCGTGTGAACTCGATGACGTTTCAAACAATCGATTGAGATATGCAGATTTTCCAGGAATCAGAGTTCCGTTTAGTTACAAACTCTAAAGATACATGTAACTTGAATGAGATTCATATATCGTATTCAACGCAATAAGATTCCTCAATTCTCTGTCCCATATTCTCTATTGACATCGTCAATACCATTTCCATCGACTCAGTAAAGCATGTTTGATAATATTCCAGGACTGAGCGTTTAACAAACAACATTCTAGCTCAGTACTCAGAGTTGCATTGTAGGAAAACATGAGGTTCTGGCATGGGATACTTATGCTCAAAAAGATCATAATCTGCGTTGTCATCGGTCATCTGAGGGGTACTGGGAAAACATCCCACAAGGCTCCGTTAGAGTGGAATTATCGGTAGGACAATGTAGTGGCGGTGATACCCTGGGTGATGCTAGCACCGGGTGGAATTTAGTGTCCTGGATAATGATTGAAGAAGTCTCTAGGCCCCACTCCTAATAAGGGACCGGAGTTTCGATTACTCTTGGGCGCTGTTTCACTTTCTAAGAAGAACAACATGTACTGACAAATATAGAAAAATATAGAAAATGT